ATGGCAGTTTAGTGTCCAAGTGGCTTACATAGTGATGGGAAGAGGTACTGCCTCTGACATAAACTGATTGGCCTGCTCTTTGATCACCTCCCCCTGAGGGGGGAGCAGCCTTACCAGGCCACAGAAGAAGACAATGCAGCCATTCCTGATGTGATCTGATAGACTAAGATCAGAAGGAAGGAGAGGAGGACCGCCCCTATCAGTGGATGTGGGGAGGAGCATACATGCAGAAAGGGGAGGTAGGGTGGGATCGGGAGGGGAGGAGGGAGGGGCTTATGGGGGGATACAAAATGAATAAAGTGTAATTAATAATAATAATAATAATAATAAAAGGGAAAAATATTTTTTCAAAATTATTTTTACTTTATTTTAAATGTTTTTATTATTATGTATCAATTGTACACAACAGGTTTCATTATGACATTTTTATACACATACATAATTATAATTTTCACCCCATTGCCCTCTTATCCTTGTCCCAATCTCTCTGATCCCCATCCTCTTCTCAGCTAGTCCATATATTTTTATGTCATGTGTGTTTATGTGTGTGTGTGTGTGTGCATGCTCGCCTGTGTGTGTGCTCGAATGTGTGCCTCCCAGTGAGTCTCATTAGGGTTGCTTACCGGGCTATGGGTGAGGGGTTATTTAGAGAATTGTGGGCACCTTCTAGAAGTACTTTCTGCTCTGGAGAGTGCATTGTGCTCTATAGCACTGTCTTGTTTATAACAAGACAGTAAACACAATGAAAGATACACTTAAAATTTCTAATGAACTATCTCTGAGTGTATGCAGAAGGCCCTTATGATGCCAGAGAATTCTAGTCTTTACTGTACCAAATCTGCTCCCCATTTTTATTACAAGAGTCTGAGAAGTAACTCATGGGTGGCACTTTTAAAGCCTCACACCCCTGCCTGTTAACCTCTTTTTCTCTTTCTTCTTCACGTAATGTTACGAGTAGCTCTTTAATGACTCTGCTTAGTGGCATCTCACACAAATGTTAGTTTTAAGTTTCTTGTTTTGAAAATGTTGAGATATAAAGAAAAGAGAGAATCCCATAGCGCAGACTCAATGATTATACTCTGGCAGTCATGGTTCATTCAGTCAGAGATGGACCGAACCATTAGTTTGGTGTATCTGTGTTTGTGTGTGCCTGTGTGTACATCTCTATGTGTAAATGAATTTATTGCTGAATTTTTATCATACAGAGTAGCTATAATGCTGTTTAAAGTATAATTTCTGATGCTGTCATACCTGTGTATACTGTATTATGAAAAAGTGGCTTTCTTCAAGTGCAGTGTGGGTACTTGAGATCTACAAGGACACAACTGGAAAAGACAAATATGTGTCTTGTTGGGAAGAGCAGATGCAGTCTGGCACTGAGGATTGTCACCTGTGCTTCATGCAGACAGACTGAAACTGCTCTCAACTGTGAAGAAGTGATCCCTGTAGACAAGATGAGTGCCCTTCATCCCCGAGCCCAGAGCACACCTGCCCCGAAGTCGGAGGCTGAAGAATGGGGGGTCCGAGAGGGGCAGCAGCAGCTGTGGACCTGCTTGGTCTTTTGGTGTCAGTATTCTGAACAGGAAAGCACTCTGGCTCTTGTTTCTCTTCTGTCCTCTGAGCCTCCCAGTAGATATCTCTTGTCGCTCACCTTAACCTGAAGCCAGAAAGAACAGAATTCTGGGAATCAAGTTGGGTGGCTGAGGTGACACATTATAGAGCTTCTGTTTTAGCAATTACCCAGACTAGTTTAATCAAATACCTTTATATTATTTAAAAAAAAAATTCATGTGCTATGTGATTTTTACCTAAAAACTTCTGGATGTGTCTATAAAAGGTAGAAGGTTTAGATAATATTTTTAATTCTTTGAGGAGAGTCAGGTCTTGAGGACACTTCATTGATCTGTTATGAAATGTTGAATGACTTGATCCTGTGAAACTGAGCTGATGCATACAACCATGTCATGTCCAGAGGTCAGCATGTTGTAGCTCTCCTCCTCATCCACTAGCTTATTTTCTCTCCACTCCTCTTCTATGACATACCCTGAGCCTTAGGTGTTGGCAGGCTGATACAGATGACACAGCCACAGAGTTATTCATACTCTGAGCTTTGACCAGTTATGGGTCTTACGTAAGGATCTTCTCTGACCAAAGATGAGAGCAAAACAAATCCATGGGTATAAGCGTAAGTATTTAGAAGGCAGTGTGACAGTGTGACTGTTTAGCAAAACCAAAACAGTAGGCTCCCCTTAAGGCCTACTATCTCCTTAGTAATGGCATTTGACCAGGTATGAAATTCCCCCTGTAGAGCTGGGCTCAACCGGAAAGTGTTGGTTACTCGCGTCGCCATCGTTCCACTGTTATACTAACGGGTACATCCTGCAGGAATGCCAGTGTTGTAGCAGTCAGGTTTCCATACTAGGTAAGACCGATAGTGTTTCTTTCCCCAGCAACCGTCAGAGGACCTCTGTCACTGTGTAGGCCAGCCGTCTAGGAGAGAGTTTACTGGTCAGTTTGAGGTTGATTTTTCTATGTCCTGCACTCGGAGTGAGTAGTGTCTTCAGCAATAGGCACTTACCACCTAAAGATAGAGAGATAGAGATATCATCACCAACCTGTTTATTAGTTTGTATGTTTATGTGTGGACACACGTGTGTCACAGTGTATATGCGGAAGTCAGAACACAACTTGAAGGAGCCAGTTTTTCCTTCTACCATGTAAGTCTTGTACATTGAACTTAGATTATAAAGGCTTTGTTTCAAGCCCTGTTATTCCTGAGCCATCCCATCAACCCAAATCAGTAACTTTTTAAGACAATTGAACATGAGTTTTAGGGTCACTATTTAAGATACAGTATCCTTTTGGTAATTTTCCTCCCTTTTTGGCAAAGTGATAAGCATTTCAAAAAGTTGTACCTAATCCTATGTCTTGTTTATAGCAAAAATAGTCTTATTTATAGCAAGTAGCTGAGCAGTTGCCTAGGTTTAGGGCTGTGTTGGCTGTTGCAGTTGTCCTAGCCTGTGTGGGTTTTGCTAGTTCTGTGCCACCATGAAGAATGACATATTTTTTTACCCTGCAGCTTTAGATCATTGGCATAGCAGTGAGAGAGAACTTCTGTTTTCATATCTTACCATTGGTGAATGACCTACTTCCTGTTCTTAGATGTATTTTGACAAACAAAATTAATCTTACATTATAGAACACACTGTGATAATCACACTGTGTGATTAGTTGTTGAAAACTGAATTGACATTAACCTATAGTCTGACAGAAAGTGGAGAAACTCCCAAAGCAGCAAATGCAAGAATTCCCAAGCAAAAAGCAGTCTTAAGACAGATATGTCATCACACAGGGAGATATGTAATTATACATGCTTCAAGTGGATTCTTGATGAGTGCTTTACCCTTTTTCTGTTCTGTTTCATGTGTGTGGATGTTTTGTCTGCATGTATGTCGGTGCAGTGTGCGCATGCAGTGCCCACAGAGGCCAGAAAAAGGCCTGCAGCCCCCTGAGACTGGGGTCACGGATGGCTGTGAGCTGACATGGGGGTACTGAGAATTGAACCTGGGTCCTCTGGAATAGTAGCTAGTGCCTTTATCTGCTGTGCTGTCTTTCCAGCTCCAAATGCCGTGCTTTTATACAATGATAAACTCATCCAGAGATTCTGATGTAATAGCTGTCCAATTCTAGATGTTCCTGAAGAGAAAACCATGCCTGTAGCCTTTATCTTCACTGGTGCTTTTTACATTTTCAGTATGCCAACTTTAAGCAGTGGTATTACCAATGTATCTAAGTGATTAGGGCCTTAGGAATACTCTGAACTTGCAAAGGAATTATGTAGAGCCAGTGACTATGTGACAGTGTAGAAATACCCTGGAAGAAGCCTGCCCTTCTATCCACCTTGATAATATTCACAAGACAGTGTGCTACTCCTGTTTGAGGCTGGGGTGAACATAGTCCTTTTAACTGCTGTCTTTTATTCAGTGGCCTTTGACAAATATGTTTTTAGCTAGAAATGGGAAAACTAAGCCAGAAGGAGTGTGCAGGCTTCTCTTATTTTCAGTAAACAGGACAGATGGTTGTGTGATTAGTTGTCTTTTTGAATAACAAAGGAAAAACAAAATCATTCCCACCCCCATTTCCCGGCTCTGGCTTATGGGAGTTTCTTGGCGCTTCTTACATGCCTTTTGGAGAACATACTTGATGTTGAGGCTTTTATCTTGGCAGTTGAAGCGCCAGGATTTTCATCTCCATTGCCCTTTTATCAGAACTTCTTTCTAGAAGAAACAGACTTACCTTTTGGCTGTTCTGTCTGGATCTTTGTTCTCTTCACTGTTCCTTCTTGCCAACATTAGGCTGTCTCCAACTTCCTGCCCTTCTGGTTTCTAAGGGGAAGTAAGGCAGAGTGCTTCAGAGCATAGTTCCTGGAGCCAAGCCTTCATGTGAATCTTCATTCTGCTATTTTTCCTTGCTCCAAAGTGGCTATTGATAATACAAGAATTAATTCCAAATACTTAGAATAGTACCTTGTTCCTAATAGGCACTTTGTTTTGTTATATTTTATTTACTTTCAGGAAACAGTATTCTTCAGAATTACATTTATAGGACATGGGTGCATATAGTTTTTGAAACTGTGTAAAGGGAATAGTAGGTGATACATGGAGAAATTATTAGCCAGCACCAACATAATTTATCTGAGTATTAGGATGATGATGTAGGAGATTTATAATCACTTAGACAAAAAAAAAAAAAAAGAATGCTTTCTGTTATCACAAAGTCTTCATGTGGTAGCAGGAACTTGAGGATTGTAGGAGATTGAACATTGGGGTCATGGATATTCAGAAGGGTGTGGGCACAGATGCAGTGTCCAGGACAGAAACACATGTGGAGAGTTTAGATGGCCACAGGATGACTACTTCTGCCAAAGTATATTCCTTTTCACTCAGGGAGGAACATTCACGTTGTCCAGACTAACAAATGATTTTTCTCTTCAATCACAGAAAGGCCCCACTTCTGGGAACGATCGTGTGAAGAAAGGTGGATCCTATATGTGCCATAAGGTCAGTCATGCTACTAAACTCTGTTGAGATGTCCTTGTGGCTCACAAATTCATTATAACATAGAACCCCAAATGTTCCACTCATTTTTGCTAACATAAACCTCTTCCCATCCAAACAAGAAAAAGGCAGGAAAGTCTGCAGCTTAGTAAGAGGCATGGGGGAAAGTAACAGGAGAAACAGAGCTTGTGGATCATTTGCACACTGTCAGCCAAATCATTTGCTGACTCTTGAACTGCCTGGTGAGAGGCTTCTGTTGGCCTAAAATAGGGTGGTCCATCTACCTCTTCCCATGCTTAGATCTAGGACCACACCCTTAATTTCAGATGTCTGTAAATTTCGAAGTCTGTAAAAATCTGAGTAGAGATTCAAACTAAAATTATAAATGGAGGGTGGTTTGTGATTTACCAAAATGGAAGCACCCAAGCGTGCATTTTTGCTCCGTGAGCTATGATTTCAGTGTCCAAACTGGCAATTCTTGGTTAGTCTGAGTGATTGGTGCATCATAAACAACCGTCCTAAGGAATTTGGAAACAGAACCTGACCCTTTCCCTTCTTCTTGAGTCATGTATTTTTAGTACCTTGATCATTCAGGGTCTGTCTTCTGGTTCTGTACAAAGAAGCATTTTTATTAACAAGGATCTCTGCATGCTAATTGATTCAGTCCTGGTCGTCCTAGAGACTTAAAACCATCTATAGTGATTCCTAATTTAAGTTACTAATTTTGTAATAGAGACAATAACAAACCTTGTCCTAAAACAGTAGTCCTCAAACTTTATTTTCCTTTAGAATCATCTGAGATTATATATTATTACATATTGTATATAATATATATATATACACACACATACATACATAAACATTCACACACATATATATCTAATCATATGTATGTATATATAAAATCTAATCAGATGGCATAAGTGGAAAGCCAGGTTTTAAAGCTCTTCAGGTATTGAAAACATAGCAAAGTTTGCTAATGGCCTCAAGAAACTCTAGCTGATAACGTATATGGGTGAGTTTGTAGGCATGCATTCTCTCCACATTTCTTAGTGTAGAATCTTTGGCCATGTGATTCAGGTGGGAAGTTTATTCAGTTCAACTCAATTCTTGCTTCAAATCTATGTTAAGCTGGCTATGGTGGCACATACCTTTAATTTCATCACTCAGGAGGCAGCTGAGTGATGCTGTGAGTGACATAGTGAGACCATCTCTTTAAAAACAACAAATCTATGTTATTAATAAGATGAGGATAAATTTAACTTTATGGAATCGTAATTAATTAATTGAGTCAGGGCCTTGGTATGCTGGCCAGGGTGGTCTCCAACTCCTGAGGTAAAGTATTCTTTCTGCCTCAATCCCCTAATAAATGGGACTATGGGTATGTTCTACCTTGCTTGGCTCATGTCTCACTGTTTGTTTTTCTTCCTTCATTCCTTCATTCCTTCCTTTCTTCCTTTCTTTCTTTCTTTCTTTTTTTTTTTTTTTAATCTCTGGCTGCCCTGGAGCTTACAGCATAGACCAGGCTGTCCTTGAACTTACAAAGATCTACCTGTCTCTGTCTTCCATGTGCTGAGTTTAAAGGTCTGTGCTATGATGCCTAGCCTTCATGTCTCATCCTTGATTGTAGGGAATTAAAAAATATTTTGAAATTAGGTATTATACTGCTATAGTTGTTACATTTCATATCAGATTGAGGATATTTGCTTTTTCAAAATTTTTAATTATCAATGAATATAGATTTTGCTAGATGCTTTGTATACATCTGATGAGATGATTTTCTTTTTCATTTCCATCAGTTAATACAGTATAACATGATAAAGTACACTAATTGATTTTCATTTTGTTGGGTTTTTTTGTTTGTTTGTTTATTTTTTTGAGTCAGTGTCTTACTATATAGCCAAGACTAACTTTGAACTCACCATTCAGAATCTCACGTTAGCAGCCAGTCATGTGTAGCTTGATTTCATTTATTATGCCATCATTTCATTCCTGGGGTATATCACACTTAGTCATGATATATTATCTTTTTATATATTTTGGATTCAGTTTTCTACAATGTTGGGAACTTTTGTGTTGTTGTTATTTTTATAAAACTGTGTGTGTTTCTCAGTTTCTCTCTCAACCTGGCTATCACACAAATAATTAACACTCTTATTATATTATTTTTAAAAGCTTCACAGCACAAGAACTGATCAGTTATTACTCTATTCTTAACCCTCTAAGTTAATTTGGGCTTCCTCTCAGCATGTATCCCAGAGATACTTGCACTTTGTAGCACTTTGTTCTTCTCTCTGATGTCACCTGGACCTCTCCCCTGGCTCAGTCTCCTACTTCTTCCTCTAACTCCTCATCCCCTGGCTGACAGGAAGTCCAGCCCTACTCTCTCCCCTGCTCAGTGATTAACTGTAAGCTGCTTTATTGGCACATCAGGGGACAATTGAGGAACAGTGTTTGCACAACACTGAGATAGGAAATTCGTAGAACAGGCATTGCAACCAGATATGGGGGGGGGGGTACAGAAATCAGCATTTGAGTTAGACGATGACCTTATGCATATAATTAACGACGAGTAGATTTTTTGTTGTTGTTCCTAGTAGTCTTTGTGTAGTTTTGGTATATTGTGTTCATAAATTTAACTGTAAAATATTCTTAAATTTTTAGTTTTTATAAAGAAGAATTCATGTAAAATTAACATCATTTCTTTTCTGAAATGCTTGGTAGAATCCCTTGTTAAAGGCATTTGGACCTAGACAAATGTATTTAGCCTTTTTTTCTTTCATTTTTCATTTTCACTGTCATGAAAACCCAAAAAGATTCAATTTTTTTTTTTTTTAAAGAAAAGAGACTTATTTTGGCTTATGGTTTTAGGGATACAAAGTTGAAGAGGATCATATGGTGCTTATATTCTTGCTGGGTCCAGAGTTGGCCTAAGGTATCACATGGAAAGTGACAGGGTGCGTGTGTGTGTGTGTGTGTGCACATTCTTTATGATTACTCTCCCTCTTCCTATAAAGTCAATAAGAATCAAGCATAACTCTATCCAAATGACTTTACCTAATCCTAATCATCTCCCCCAAAGGCGTCAGCTCTAAACAACACAGGCCTCCATCCCCTTCATAGCCTTAGGTGATACACTCAAACCATGTCTAGACTAAATTAATTTATCTATAGATGTTGGGTTTTGTAGATTATCTGTTTCTACTTAGGTAAAACTCTGATAATTCTGTCTTTCAATGAATCAAGTCTTTCATATGAAATTTTGTTTATTATTTCAATCTCTGCATTTTCATTGATTATTTAAACCAATTACATTTAATGAAACTATTGTTATTATTGGGTTTGAATTTGGTATCATGAGGTTTTAGTTTTCTTCTTTGCCTTACCTATTCTTTGTTCCTTTTTAATCTTCATCTTTTTTTGGATTAAGTTGTTTTTGTCACTTTATTTTCTCTACCTAGGCTGATTATCTACAATTGTTTTAAATGAACGGCTGATTTAGAATCAAGTTAATCATTAATTGTTCATAATCAATCTGTAGAATACATCTTGAGTATTAGTTTAGGATGGAGAGACTATTACAGAAGAGAATAGCAGAATGACAAAACTGGATGGAATCAAAGTTTTTCTAGAGGAAAATGGCAATTCTAGAAATAAATAAAAAGAAGGAATGTTATAATTAATTTTTAAAGGTTTATTTTTATTTTATATGTATGAATATTTTGTCTGCATATTTGCACAGCTTAATGTGAATGCCCTCAGAGTTACAGAGAGTTATGAGCCACTACCATGTGGGTTCTGGGATGACCCCAGGTCCCCTGGAACAACAACTAGTACCTTTAATCACTGAGCCATCTCTCCATTAGTTAATATTTAAAATTACTCTGACTAGAAGGTAACACACTTTTGGTTGTAAACCAAGCCCACTTTGCATGGCTAAACTCCAATAATCATGTCTAGTTTTTTTTTAAGGGTTATTTCATTTTATTAATTACAAAAACTTTTGTGTGTGTATGTGTGTGGGGGGGTGGAGTTGTGCCTGCATGTATGTCTGCATACCAATTGTATTCTCAGTGCCCATGGAGGCCAGAAGAGGGAATCGGATCCCCTGGGACTAGAGTTACTGATAGTTGTGAGCCACCCTGTGGGTTCTAGGGATCAAGCCTTGGACTTCTGGGAAAGCAGTAACTGCTCTGAACTGACGAGCCGTCTCTCCAGTCTCCTCCTTCCTAGTTTTTAGCAGTCTGTCTAAGGTACAGCTTCAGGAAGGAGGTGAGGACACAGAGTGGCTATTGAGGTAGCACAGCATCCAGTTAAGAGCACAAGCTGTTATCCTTGACCTGCTGCTTATGTGCTGTGGCCTTAGGTACACTGTTAATGCCTCTTGATCTCAGTTTTCCCCGTGTGTATAATATAATATATCTTTCTGATAGGATTTTTGGAAGAATAAAGAGTCATTGTATGATAAGTACAGACTTTGGTTCTTGATATTGTTAGATTTTTGCCTAACATTCCAGTGTGGGATCGTCATTCAGATCCAGCATCAGTGGTGTCCTCTCACCAGAATAACAAAGGAATTGGTCTAGTGGCATGTGAAAGATCAGTTGGAAGTCCTGGGTTCTGGTACAGGCTTCCCTAGAATGATTTTATTCAATATTAGATACAATTGCCTTAAAATTTTCCTTTATCTGAGAAATGCTTTCCTCTCATGAAACCATATTTCTGCCCCACTTGAGTTCAAGGCCTCCAGGCTGGTAGGTCATCATCTTGAATGGATTGTTTCCTGATCCAAGCACACATTCTTAACACAGATACTGAAATCAGTTTTACAAAGTAATTAGCCGTTTTGATGAAATCAGGCTGAGACAGGTCCCTCCTACTACTCCCGTTCTTTTTTTTTTCTACTCCTGTTCTTAATTAATAGAATGACCCATTTTTTTAGTCACCCAAAGACCTCACTTCCTTTAAGAACCATTTTCGATGCTAAAAATAGAGGTACAAAAAAAATATAAAGAACAACCAGAACATTCATAATCAGGACATTTACTCTTTAATCGTGTCTCTGTTAGAGCCTCATTATTGAAATCTAAGAGTACTACTTATTAATACATATTTTCTGAGGGAATGGATATGTTTGAGTAGAATGGTGGTATGAATTGACTCTTTGCAAGTGATGAACCTGACCTCTCAGCCCGTGTGTGTGTGTGTGTGTGCGTGTGCGTGTGCGTGTGCGTGTGTGTGTGTGTGTGTGTGTGTGTGTGTGTGTGTGTGTGTGTGTGCATGCGCGTGTGTGAGGACCAGGGAAGTGCTCTGCCACCGAGTGATCTCCCCACGCTATCACCACTGTGCGGTGAGACGTTCTGGCTTTGGTTCTTCAGAGTCATTTTGGTTTGATGGAAGGCCTGGGGAAACACTGTGATCCATTTTGTGATTATCGATTTTTTTTAAAGCTTTCTGTTACACAAACAAAACAACTCTACTGCATAAAATTTAGAAAAGAAATAAAATGATAACGATGACAATGAAAATCAGATGTCTTATGTCATAAACTATTAGATTGTATTTCTGCCATGAGTTTACATGTACTTTGTTATATATTTTTTAAAAATTGAATTATTTTGTATTATACTTAAGGTTTTCAGACAGTCTTGTATGTCATCAATCTTTTTCCTAGTCTCCTCTGTTATTGATGGAGAATCCTTTTCAAAACTGTTCTGAACGGGCACTAAAAACTCATCAGAGCTGTTGCAGCCTAGCTTTTGTAACATATACAGTAATCCATCCAACTAAAACTGTAGTCCTGTGCCATCGCCAGAGCTGACCTCAGCCTGCTGGTGTATGCTGCCCTTTCCTTCCCCAGCTGGAGGAGGTGTCATCTTCTTCCCACAGGCAACCCAGGGCCTTTCTCCAAGCAGAACAGTGCTGCTCTTGTTTCCCTGAGGTGGAGGTCAGCCAGGCTGAGGTCCAGTGACTAACAGTGTGTGTCCACTAAGCAAGCTGTTTGCTGTTCTTTGTCTGTGCTGCTTGTTTATCTCTGTTGTGGAGGACTTTGGTTTGGTTTGGATATGTTTCACTTTTTGTGAGATTGAATGCAAGCCTTGCTCACCCTAGGCATGCGCTCTAACACTGAGCTCAGTTTCCAAGCCAAGATGAGCTGTTCTCAGGTATTTCTACAGAGAGCTTCATTTTATCAGTGAGGACAGATTCTGGAAGGCTTTGCCTAAGATGAAATAGCCACTGAGCTTGGGATTTTGCCCTTGCTGTTCAAAAGATTACCAAAATGTTTATCACAAGTTTGATTTGTATGAGACCAAACTCCTCAGACTGGGGAGATGGTGGTGTGATTTTATCTATCTGCTTACATTTCTTGCTTTTTACATTATTTCTTTGTCGTATTTTCTCTGTAATTCTTGTTTTCCAGTTCTTAGGTCATCTCAGCTCCCTCTCAGAGAGACTTTTCCAAAACACCCTATGAAAAGCAGCCACTGTTGTTTTTCATTTGCCTCTCCCCATCTTCCTTGTCTTCAGAGATGACCACCACTGAAGCAGTCTTAAATTTTTCAGTCTGTTTGCAGTCTGACTGCTCCCTGTGAATGTCAGCTCTCTGCTAGCAGATTCTTTGTTTGTCTGCTCTGACTGCATTCCTCATGCCTAAAATTGCATCTAGCCTATTGCAAGTACTCACAGATTGACAGTCTAATCTTGCTGTGATGTGATCAGGCTATCTATGGAATGGCTCTTGCCTAATTTTTGCCTTTTTTTTTTTTTGTGCTTCTGAAAGCACTGTTTAGCCATTTAATCTACCTGCCATCCTCCTTTATAAATTGCTGCTGTTTGGAGTGCACCCCAAGGGCTGAAGCAGCACCCCGGAAGCTTGTTAGAAATGTAACTTGAGTACCACATGAGCCCCATGAAAGCAGCATTTCTGAGTGTGCAGCCTAGGAATGTGTATTTGGACAACCTCTCCTGTCTCTCTCTGTATGTGTGTGCATGTCTATTTGTCTGTGTCTACTTACCTTGTTGCTGTGATAAAACACAATTTCCAAAGCAAGCTAAGGGCCAGTGAGCACACTCAATGGGAGGAAGGAGTTACTCAACAGGACTGATGACTGTCAGTGGATCACCGGGGCATGCAACACAAAAACAGAACAAATAAGTTAAAAGCAGCTTATGGAAGAAGAGGTTTGTTTTGGCCAACAGTGCCAGGGTACAGTCTTTTGGGACATAAAAGTCATAGTGCTTATAGCTTGAGGTAACTGGTCACATTGTGTCCACAGACAGGGACAAACACTGGTGTTGAGCTAGCTTTGTCCTTTTTAGGTAGTCTGTAACTGCAATATTGGGAATGATGCCACCCATATTTAGGTTGAGTCTGTCCACATCAGTGAACCTCATCAAGGTAATCCCTCACTGGCATGGCCAAATGTTTATCTGTGATGATGCTAGATCCTGTCAAATAGACAGCATTAATCATCACAACTGCATTCTGAGAACCACTGCCATAATCACGGATGTGTCACTTCGGCTTTTCTAGAGACACTGACATTCTGCAAGGGACCCAAATGACTAGCCTCAGTTCTTTAGTTAAACTCATGGCTGTTTTGTAACTGTCTGATGTGTAGTCAGTGTTTTCTCACCGACCTGTGGTCTCCAACCAGGCAGGGCAGGACCATGCCTAGACCTGGGTATGTTCTCTTGGTGTACACAGTCCAGAAATAAGATGCTTGGTTGTTTTCATCGTGTGTGGTCCCATCGTGGGACGAGCTTGCTAGAGTCATCAGTGTGCCTCCCCTCCGCTGGCCCTTTGCTGCAGTGTGGAGTCCGTTGCACGTGTGTGGTTTCACTGGTACTCTGAGTTACCTGACTTTGATTCTAGAAATACCAGAGCTCTGTCATTTCTCAGTAGCCTAAGGCCTGCGCATAGGCTTCTGCTGTCTCTCCTCACGCACTTCTTGCCAGCCATTTGAGCGCTTCTTTTCATGCAGAACACACAAGTGCAGAAGCGTCACCTTATTATTATTTCAAGCACATTCAAAATTCATCTTCTGTCTGTGTACCTGAGAGCTAGTAATACATTCTGTTCCTCACTGTCCACAATGAAAATCAGTTTCTACTGTTTTATTATCTATAGAAGATGGAGCATTATGTCTTCCTTTTTATTGGGAGAAATGCACCAGAGAATTTCCATGTCAGCCTCAGAGATAATTTTTATGGAGATTAGAAACATCTGACTTTTTGTGAGAGAAAAGAAATAATAGGAATTAAAAAAAATGTCTTGCATGATGACCTATTTTTTTTTTTCCCTTTCCACAAATTATCTCTTCGGTGTGAGTTCCCAACTTTTTCTACATGATTCTTCTTGAGATTTCTTTTACCTGTTGGCAGGCATTTCGCTTCAGCGGGCCAGCTTTTGAGTTTATGTTCACGGCACCCAAGGTGACTAGTTGGTTTTTATTTCCTGTGGGTTTTTTTTTTTTTTAATCGGAGAGTGAACCTCACAAGAGTTCCACACAGAGTTATTTTGAAATCTGGCAGCTCTTAAAATGCTGTGTCAAAAAGTCCGTGGCCACAGATACGTGTCCAGTGTGTTTGTGTGAGAATGTGTGTAAGTATCATATGTATGTTGGGGGTGGGCAAGAAGACATGAAATGTAGGTAGGCTCTTGATAAGAAAGGAACCACACAGCAGTTTGTCCAGATTGGAGTCTTGCTTCCCTTAACAACTGTGTCACCTTCTCTAACTTGTTTGATTTGCCTGGGCTCTGGCAGTCAAAAGTGCTTGCTGCCATGCCTGATCAATGGGAACTCAATGTCCAGGTTTGTGCAAGCTTATATACACTGCTCTTTTACAGCCAGACAGAATGAAGTAAACTGCACTCCTCCCCCATGTATAGTAGTATTATTACTGTGATTTAAAATCTTAAGGTATTGGGAAGAAAGTGGCTTTCCAAAAGCCTTTCTTATATTTTAAGTCCCTATATGGACTCTTGAATTTTTTTTTTGCCAGCCTGTTTAATATATTCTATTATATTTGATTCTGTTATTAATCATTTTATTGCCATTTACCCCTATTGTTATAATGTCAAAACTTGAGGCAATAAGCCAAAAAAATGAAGCTTTCCTCTCAAGGGTAATGATTGTGAGTGTGTGCATGCTATAACCTTGTGGATCTGTTAGTCTTTCTTTCCTTAGCATATGATTGATTAGGCTAGATAATACCATTATATAGCCCCATATTCTGACTTTTTATTTGACATTTTATTATGGGAATTCTGTGTTTTCACATATTTTCTAAAACCATGATTCTCAGTGGCTGCTGACTGTAGAATCATATGGATAACCATGAGGGGTTACGATTTGCCTTTTTAAATTTTTAATTTTTTTATTTTTCTGAGACAGGGTTTCTCTGTAACTTTGGCTGTCCTGGAACTCACTCTGTAGACCAAACTGGCCTTGAGTTCACAGAAATCCTTGTGTCTTTGTATCGGAAGTGCTGGGATTAAAGGAGTGTACTATTACAACCTGGCTTACTGTGTGCTTATGGGGTGTTGTAAGTGGTGGTGGCCTTTCTACTGAATGTAGGTGTTATTTGTAAGGTAGAAGCTACTGGCTGGTTGTGTCATAAATGTGCTGTCCTTTGCCAAGCATGCATCACAGATGGTCTAAGAAGGCAGTTCAGGTAGCTCCCTTCAGGTAGCTCTGGCTTCCCTGTACCAGGTACGTTTGTGAAGCTGCATCTACCCTAAGCCTTAAGCCAAGGGTTCCAGGATCTCTTACGGCATGTTGTCTCTTCTAGTCCTATTGCTATAGGTATCGCTGTGCGGCTCGAAGCCAGAACACGCCGGATAGCTCAGCATCCAACCTGGGATTCCGTTGTGCAGCAGACCACCTGCCCACTACAGACTGACAGCCAAGAGGAGCCTTTCCAGATCCCAGGAGTTGTCTGTAACTTGCAGCTGGCGTCTCCCCGACCTCAGAACTGATCTTGTGTAACATATTCCCACCGGAGGAGAGTTACATGTCTGCCCAGTGGCCAAAGGAACCGTCATGTGTGACCAAATTGCTGACATGTGTCAGTGCTTGTGCTTTAGTGTGGTGCATCTTTGGGGATCATCGCCATGTTTTACTTTGAGCGCCTTTAGAAGAGGAAGGAGAGAGCCGAGAACTATGGAGTCCTGCCCGTCCTCTGCCTCAGTGTTAGACCCTGGGGCCCAGCACTTCATCTCCCTGGGCCTCTGTCCCCTCATCAAATGAGGGAATGGACAACATGATCTCTGAGGCTCTCTCTAACTCGCAGCTTCTATGTGCACTAGCAGACTGTATTGTGACTGCATAGTGAGAATTTATGACAGATTTATTTTTAGCTATTTTTTTTGCCATGTGTGAATCTTGGGTAATACTAATCATATAAGGTGAGAGTTATCTTATGTATTATTGTCTGTAAAGGGCGGGGTTTGTGTCTTTTGTATTCATACTGCACTTTGTTCTTTCAAGGAAATCAGTGTCTTTTACATTGTTGTGACAAATCTCATGTGGGCCAGTGAGGGGACACTCCAGTTCAGAGTTCTGGACACACAGCAATGTCTGCAGAGTGACTCTTCTGTCATTTATCTTTTAACATTAAGTGCCTTTGGCTCAGAGGGACAGTTTGAAGCCCTGTTTCCCCTTCAACCTCCAAGCCTTCAGAGAATGTGAACTGTGTACTAATTAGGGAAACCATTGAATGCTAAGTACAGGGGGTAAAGAATCAGGGCCCTGAATACGCTGCATTCAGGGTATCCAGTCTATTATACTGGAGAGATGGGAAATCTTGTTGACTTTGAGATATCAGATGCTTTGAATCATGCACTATGTCAAATAAACTGATACCTCCCAAGTCAGATTCTTTCTCATTGCCTCCTTTGCGCTTTCCTTCAAAAGCATCATTTTGTGACGTGTGTGTGTGCTTTCTTTTCTAGAAAATGTGTTTTACAGGTAGAAACTAGTTGATAACTTTAGTGCACAGATAGTTTGTGACAGTTCATTCTCTGAAGCAAGGGAATTGTGCCAGGAGCCCTGCTACAGCCTTGGGACTTCTTGCCACAGTAGATGATGCAGAGTCAGGGGCCTTGCCTTGGTGAGCAGGAGTTTCCCGTTCAGGAAAGCACTTCCTCTGCACTGAAGGCTTTCCAGGCATGATCCCTGTTGTTAGCATCTACCCAGGTTTCTGAGTCCCTGAGCTGTTTTTAGCACAGCGGTTGAAGAAAAGCTTGTTACTTGACTGACACTTTGAGTAACACTTAATAAGTAATATTCAGTCAATCAAGTAATATTCAGAAGCGACTAGTCAACACTGGATTGCTACTGTTACCTTTTTTTAAAAAATTAGATTTGTGTGTAAGCACATGTGTGTTCATACATGCACTAAGGTTGGAAGACAACCCATGGAGTCTGTTGTCTCCCGCCACCGCGGGTCCTAGGAATCCGACTCAAGTCCTCAGGTTTGGTGGCAAGCACCTTTACTCTCAGAATCATCTTACCAACTCACCAAGTCTTACTCTGTAGCCCAACCTGGTCTGACATTGACCAGGGTGACCTTGAACATTCTGTCCTGCCTCAGACTCCCAAGTACTGGAGTTGCTGCCGTGTACACCTGACAGTGGCTGTGCATTTGTACAACCTCTTTGCAAAGTAGCCATGTTGCTTGTATGTGCAGGCCTGTTCATGATCACATTGTGAATATAAACTGTTTCTCTGAAAACTTCTAAGTGATGATTAATCCCACTCAAAAGGAAAAAAGATAACATTTGTAGGAAATAGCTTCTGTAGGAAGTCAGGCTTTTATTTTTAACATCACCAGTACTCCCGTACAGTTTTTGTTTTTACCTCTTGCCTCCCACCTGTGTGCGTGCATACACCTGTATGTGTTTTATATCATTACATTATAGTGCATATATTTTGGTTTCTTTCCCTGTCAACTGATGTTATGTACCATAAACATTCATGAAGGGTTTTGGGCAGTCCTTAGGACTTCATTTTTAGCAGCATTGTGATATTGATGAACATTTAAAACAAAATCCTGGCATGTTCGAGGATGTAAGAATTACATGTGTAGGTTACTACAGCATGCTGTTATAATATTACATACTGACATCAGCAGACAGACAGACTGTAATAACAACAGTTTCACATTTCGGTACCATAAATGTGATTCTCAATGTGTTAGTTACTTGTCTTGTTCTTGGACCAGTTGACCATCATGGCGACAGATGCATGTAGAAGAGGAGGCTGTTTACTTTATGGAGGACAGGAAGCAGAGAGTGATGAAACCCTGGGTGTAACCTTGGCAGGAACACTGCTACTCACCTACCTCCTTCGGCTAAGTCCCGCCTCCTGAAATGTCTGCAACTTTTCAAAAATAGAGCTATGCCACCTGGGGGCTAAGTGTTCAACATATGAGCCTGGGGGGAACACACATGGTCAAACCATTAGCACTGAAAGTTTTTATTTCCTACAAAACTGCACACACACACAAAGAGGCACACACAGACACACACACACACAGGCACAAACACACAGAGACATACACACATAAACATAGACCTACGCCCATAGACACACACACAGGCCCACAGACACATACACACAGACATACACACAGGACCACAGACACATACACAGGCCTACAGACAGGAACACACACACAAATATACACACACAGACATACATACAGGCCCACAGATACACGGGCCCACAGACACACACAAGATATACACAGATACAGAGGCACAAACAGACACACACAGGCAGACACATAGTCACAGA